CCGACGACTGCCATGGCGAACCCGACTCACGGCGGGGGGACGTCACCGGTGGTTTTGGGAGATGACTGCCCGGTCGAACCTTTCTTCTTTGTCAGCAGTGCGGCGCAGCGGCAGACTTAGCGACAGCGACGAGGCGTTCTTCTTCATCAGCAGAACGGCGCAGCGGCAGACTTGGCAGCGTCGTGCGCACCGAGTTGGGCGGCAGCAATGGGCGGAGCAGAACGGATTCTTTCTTTTCTTCTTTGTCGGTGCAGCAGTGGCGGCGGCATCGACGCGTCGGAGCAAAGAAAAGGCCACGATGTATTTAGGGCGATGGTGCTCTTTTATTTTTGGTTTTTCAGTAGGGAGATGGTTTTTTATTTTTCTTTATTTTCTCATAGTAGGGCGGTGGTAATTTAGATTAGGGCGTTAAATAGAAGTTCAGATTAAAAAGTTAGGGTTTTTCACTATCCCTCTCTCTCCTTGAATGCCTTTTATCTTTTTCTCTTTAATCTTTAACGGATGATTTCTCTATCGTTTTAAGTCGAAATTTAAATTTTTTTGCACAGATAAATCAAATTAAATGTGCTTTTTAAAATGATATCCACTTTGATATATTTTTAGTACAAAAAAAAAATTGAATAATTTTTCACCAGTCATTACCATATGGTATGCTCATATTTAATACCATATGGTAAGAAAGGGTACCATGATGGTATGAACATACCAATATGGTAAGAAGGTTGAATACATAATAGTAGGAGTATACTAACTGTCATTTACGACTTTTATCATTGTTTACCACAAGTTACCACCCACATACCACAGTGGTAAAGTATGGTAATTTTTTGTCCAATATTTTTTTCACCCAGAAATTTGTAGATCCAATAGATCATGATGAACTCGTTCCTTTTGAGCAAACATTTTCAAAAACGACTTAAAAACGAAGAAGTTACCATATGTTATGTAGTTGGTAAAAAAAAAGTTTCTCAAAATATATTGAAAATTGATCTCATTTGGCAGGGCACAACGAACTCGTTCCATGTGTGCAAAAAAATTGAAATCCGAGTTAGAACGAAGAAGATAAGAGCCGATTATGAAAACTAGGGAAAATAAAATGCTTTTTATTGACAACCCTTAGATCTGAATTTTCTGGGCTCACTTGAATCTAAAGGTTCAGATTTAATTACTTATAGGTCAGTAACCAATGGTTACTCACCCTATCCTAAGCCGGTTACGGTGAGAACTGGAGTCCTGCAGCCACCGTAGTTATTAAAAGTAGGAATGATATTCTGTTATTGTTTTGATAGTGGTGCATATGTTTATCATAGTTACTAAATACTCCATTTAATACACGTTGTACCCGTACGTATTTTATCCGTTTAAAACTTCTGTATCCGTATTATTTTCAAGCCGTTTCATTTTTTTCTGTTGACTGATGGCTCCCGTACTAAACACATATAAAACGCGTATAACACGTTTAATATCTGTATTTAATGAACTAAATTTTTAATTTTACTATTATTTATATATATTTTTTATTTTCAAATAATTAAATTATATATATTTATGAATATTAATGTACTATTAAACGTAACATTAACTTAGAGATGAAGTAAAATACCCGTAAGTATTTTATACGTACCTTTCCCGTACCGTATTTTACAAACTATGATGTTTATTGTTAATGTTGACATTGTGGTATTGGTATGTTTTTATTTGGATAAATTTTTATTGAATATAAAAAAATTACTTGCATTTATGTTAATTACATTGAATTAATTACAATGGAAAAATAATTTTTTACCAAAACTAAACTCTTTGCTCTGTATCTCTCCCTCTATCCAGTGGTGGATCCAGGGGGTGGCCACCCCGGGCCATGGTCCAGTCCTCCTCTGGATCCGGCACTAGTATAATCTTTATGCGTTTATTGATTTTAGCCATTCGGTCAAGTGTTATTTTATAATAAAATTGTGTGTAATTAGGAAAATGGGTAAGATGAACATATTCAAATCATAACTCTAAATTTAGTCTAGAAATTCTAGCTCAAATGAGTCTCATCTAAAAAAACAAACAACGAAACCTAAAATTCTAAAAGGCTACAATGTAAAAGGCTAAAGAAATATGAGATTTGTTCGATTGAAAAATCACTAGAGCAGGTGGTGGAAATGGGGATGGATACACAATACAAATTAATTACTCGATTGATTTTTCTAGTGTTGACATTGTCCATTTCGACAGTTACTATGGAGAGAACCTCTTCAATAATTGAACAGGTGAAAATGATTTGCACAACAAAATGAGCGATGAATTTCTCGCTAATTGGTTAACTATTTTATTTGAAAATGAGTATTATGCGATTAGTATGGATGTAGACTCCTTTATTGATGAATTCACTATATTAAAAGATCAACGAGTACAATTGATATTGTAAAAAAATTATGATTTTTTGCGGTATCTAGTTTTCTAATAAAATGCGGCCCAGTGCTCTACTATGTCCTGGATCCGCCGCTGCCTCTATCTGATTGTGCCTCCTTGCCTTCCTCTGATCCTTTCATCCTTGTACTTCATCGATTGTAACCATATGTACTTCCTCCGACTACCGAGCATAAAATCAACATCAATCCAAGAAAAATCAATACTAATACGAAAAGTCCATACCAATCTAGAAAAAATCAATACGAATCCAAGAAAAATCTATACCAATACGAAAAATCCATACTACCCTAGGGAACCAATACCATTATGAAAAACGTACATGACAACCACTACTAATACGAAGACACTCAAACCTTTAACACTACAAAAAAAAAAACCAAACCAGTACCGATACGAATACACTCAAACGAAAAATTTACCATACTAAAATTGAAGCAATACCAAAATAAATAAATAAAAGCAACCAATACCACATTAAAAATGAACCAATACCAAAACAAAAAAACCTAGATCTATGTTTTTATGTTCTCTGTAGAGGAGATTTAGCCAATACCAAATCATTAAAACACTAACAAATACCAAAATAAAACCAAATCAATACCAAAATAAAATGAATACCAAAATAAATACCAAACCAGTACCAAAGCAATACCCCAAATCACCGTCGACGGGAGTCACCCCTGAGTGCATTGCCTCTCACCTGCTCCACCGCGTTCGTCACCGACAGCCTAGTCCCGTCACTAGAGATGAGCGCCATGTGCTCCGCCTCCACATTAGGCACGAGCGACGCCGGTGGGATGGGATGGTGAGGGGGAGCAGGGTAGGGTAGGGTGGAGGGATGGACTAGGTATGGAGAGAGAAGGGGGAGTCATGTATGTGGGCACCAGGCCGTGCCGCCCACAGGCTAGCACGACATGGCACGGTTAGAGCACGAGCACGAAATAAATGAGCCAGCCTGGCACGAGCACGAATAATTTATGGGTCGTGCCGGGCCTAAATTTTATGGGCACGGCACGGTATATAAGTGGGCTGTGTCGGGTCTAATATTTTCGAGACTTTATTGAGTATAAGAACGAACATGGCACGAAAATAATATCTATTTGATAGAAAATAAATATAAAAAGAATTAATGGTTCAAATATTACAAAACACAAGTAGAAAAAGAATTATTTTTTGTTGTTAGAAGTGTCATAAAGATATATACGTAATTACTAGCATAAGTAAAAATGGACAAAGAATTAAACAAAGCCAAATCACACTCGAAATACTTCCAATTTTCTTTTCACCCTCATTTGTTAATTTTCTCAAATATTATCGGTTAATTCTATCTTTCTCTGTCCAATTTTCACCTTCTTTTTCATTCTCTCTTTTGTTTTCGTCTTTTTCATTAAACACGAATACGAGCATGGCACGAGCACGAATAGGCACGGCACGATTCGAACCGTGCCGGGGGTCTGGGCCGGGCCTAGCAAAGTTGACAAATGGGCTTGCATGGCACGACATGAAAACTGACGGACCGTGCCAAGCACGACACGAAATAAATGGGCCTGAAGCGTGCCCGTGCCGTGCCGGCCCAAGTACGGCCCAACGTCCATGTACAAGGGGGGCCGTGGGGTGGGGTGGGGTGATGAGTGGAGGGGATGGAGGGAGCAGGGTAGGGGCAGGGTCGGGTGGGGGGTGATGAGGGATAGAGCGGGAGAGGGGGGTGTCGGTGTGGTGGGTGGTAAGGAGAGGGGCGGGGAGGAACGACGGTACCACTAAGAGCATCTCCATCAATTCAATTGCAAAAGAAATTGTATTTGTGTATTTTATTGTCAACTCAAATTTTGTGCAATCCACGTCACATTCATTTCGTTCACCTACATAAATGCAATTAACTTGCAATTGCAAATGTAATTAAATATTATGTTTAAATTATAGAAAATTAAGTAAAAGAGAATAGAAAATAATAGAAAATAAAAAAATCCCCATTTTCTTAGGCTTTTTTGACTTGCATATGGAATTGTATTTGTTGCAAGCTTGCAAATATGTAATCGATAGCCACATCAATGCAATTGGCTTTGTAATTGCAAACACATATGTCATGTCATTTTGCAATTGAGAATGCAATACCAATGTGGATGCTCTGAGGAAGAAAAAGATGGTGGGAGGGAGACAGTGGGAGAGGGGTAAGGTATTAGGTCTTAAATAGTAACAATCACATGTATTATTTTTTCGTTTCCAAAATTATCTTTAAAGCAATATTGATGGTTTACTTTAAAAAGAGAAAGAATAAGGAAAATGCACTATTGGTCCGATCCGTGGTCCATGGAAGTCTCTTAGGAATTTTAACCTTTCAACCATGGATACTTAGTAGGGATCCTCGTACATGGTGAATAACCAAATTCCAATTGAAATGAAATTTTTAGTATAAATCAATGCAATTTAGGAGGAATCAATGAAAGGACATCAATTTAAGGATTTTCGAATTGAGAGAGATCCAGAACTCTCACTATTTCTTAGATTTATGGACCAATTCAATGTAGTGGGACCAATTCAAGGGGTTCTTCTGCGGGCATAAAAATGATATATGAGTAAATGAACTAGTGAAAAATCTGCACTATTCCTTCTTTTCGATCGAATCGATCATAACCACTACCTACATTCCAAAAAATTGTGCACCACAAATAAGAGCTAAAAAATAGACCTGCGATCCCATAGAAAGACATCACGATTCCTTGTGGAAAAAAAAGGATTTGCTGAGAGGGAAATAAAGATATTAAATTTCTGCCAAGATAACTCGAAAAACCAACCCCCCAAAAACCTAATGAACCTAAAAAAAGTATAAAAGCCCAACAGAAATTACTTATTTTTCGCGACCCCACTATAAGTTCTATCCATATACCTTCTGATCGCCAACTCATACTAGATCCCGTTGCATTTTATTGGAAGTGGAAGACTAGCCCAAATGAATTTGATATTTCCGAAGTAACTTTCGCCAACTCCCACTATTATAAAGTGAGTCGTTGGTAGCAATTCGACGAATTCAGTACATCAAAAATACCGAGAATCCTTTCATATGATCTCCCATCTACACACATATAGGTATACATGCTTTTCTGTATTATTTCAGGTATCAGCCGCAATCTCATTTTGACCGAGAGGTTGTCCTGATTTTGGTCCGGTCGGTCCGAACCAGACCATTGCCCACACCTATAAATAGGGGAAAAAAATCCAAAACTACCACTGTTTTAAAAAAAAAAATTACAAAAATACCACACATTCCCAAGAATTTCCAAATCTACCACTATTTATTAAAAACCGCTCCACTCAGGGGGGGTTAAAACAAAAACCGCCCACTTAGGCGGTGGTTTACCAAAGAACCGCCTGGTCGACAAGCGGTTTGTCTATTTTGGAAAAAACGCTCTTCGAAGGAGCGGTTTTCATGGCTTCCCTAACACAAACCGCTTCCTCAGGGAGCGGTTATGTGTCGACATGGTAAAACGCTCCACAGGGAAGAGGTTTACCATGTGGACACATAAACCGCTCCCCTCCCAGCGGTTTGTGCCTCGTCACCCGACATCCGACATGTCGGCATACATGAGGTTGCAGTAAAATTTCCTATAAAAGGCAGGTCCAGAAAACTCAAAATCTTCACTCCGCTCCTTCTTCTTCTTTTTCTTCAAATTTTAGTTGTGCACCTTTAAATTATTCAGTTTTTGCGATTAACGTTAATTTGTAAGTTTGTTTTGTATGACTTTTCATTGTCCGTAGATGGCATTCCAAAGGTTCACGCTTGGGTTGCAGTGGAATGGTTACACGGAAGAGACCGAAAATGGTGTAAGATTCGTGGGTGGCAATTTTTATAAAATGAAGGTCCGTACGAGACCGATGCTTGAAGAGCTCCATCAAATGTGCACTGATGTTACCTGCATGGATGGCACTAGAAGAGTTGATTGTATGGTGTATCGATATCCAAACAGACATGGCGTGTCGCTGTGGAATGATGAATTCCTCATTACCACTCAGGAGGACGTTGATGCCATGGTTCAATTTTTTACCACCAATAAGATTAAACATGCAGAGATGTTCGTTTACACCGAGACAGTCGAAGGCGGTGTAGGTCATTCTGGAGATGGCCAAACATCTAGTATCCACGGTGGGAGTGTATTATACGAAGATCATCCCCACCAGAAGTACCAAGACTCGAGCTGGAGGTAGGAGTATCATGATGGAACTGGAGGTCATCATCAATCCTTCCCATCATATGAAGAAGAAGCTCAACAGGCGGATGTGAACCAACAAGGAGGCTACTAGTACCAACCCGAGTACAACTTCTACCAAAGCGGCGTTAGTTACCACAACTACCATTACGTAGCTGGTGAAGGTTCCTTTCATGATGATCATCAGATGGAAGAAGAGGTCAATCCAAGTCCAGTTAGTGACTCTGAGGTTGAAGAAGAGGAAGGCGATGTCAGTGTAGACAGCTTCGATCCTCTTGAAGGTGCTGATGATTCCGGTCCAGATTCAGATGCACACGGTGATGAGGTGCCTCGAGACCGTGTACCTATCTCGTACTACAATCACATTCCAAATGAAGATTGGTATGTTGATGCCGATATGGACCCGCCAGAGGTACCAGTATGGGGTCCACTCACTGACTTTACGAAGGGCCAACAATTTGCAACGAAGAATGAGGTCTGACACGGTATTGCCACTGAAGCAATGACTCGGAGTTTTGAATGGCACACAACCCATTCCAACACGAAGAGGCTGATGGTTAGATGCAAAAATCAAAATGAGGGATGCAAAGCTAGGGTCCGGGCCATCAAGAGCAAGAGATTCGGCCATTGGGTCATATCCCGTGCGGGGAACACACACACATGTGTGTGTCATCAATAACATCCCAAGGCCATCGCTATGGTTATATCATTAACTACAAGAAGGCGTGGCATGGAAAACAGAAAGCAATGGCCGCCGTGTTTGGTGACTGGGAAGAATCATATGCATTCCTTCCCAGATTGATTTTGGCGTTGGAGGTATCTAACCCTGACATCATTTTCTCTCCTCGCTACCAAGATGAAGAAATTCAGCTGCCGATGCCTGGTAACAAGCGCCATTTCGAGCGTCTTTTCTGGTCATTCAAGCCATGTGTTGATGGTTTTCCATTCTGTGTTCCTGTGATTCAAGTTGATGGAACATTCCTTACCAGCAAGTACAAGGGTACTCTACTGACCGCCAGCGGAGCAGATGCAAATAGAGCAGTATATCCATTAGCTTTTGCCATTGTGGAGGGAGAGAATACCGATAGCTATGGATGGTTCTTTAGACAAATTCAACTCCATGTCACCAGGCGGACGAAGCTAACCATCATCTCTGATCGCCACGCAGGTATAAGGGCTGCTATCTTAGGCTTGGATCCAGCCTGGAACTGGTCACAGAGATGGTGCATACGGCATTTCAAGAGCAACTGAACCATCATTTCAAGCGAAAGAAGCTTGCTGATAGTCTATGATGGATCGGTAAGAGTTCTATTTCATTGGTCTATATCTTTTGTTAACTGGAAAAACGAGGACTAAATCAATATAATACAATACAATACAACACTTATTTAGACTCTTTATAAAGTAATGCATGCCTAAGGAAATGGGGTTTTAAGCGATCATCATGATTGATAGCGTCGTATTTGCACATGTTTTCACTCTTGTTTCCTGACCATTTTAGCTCAAATTGATTGTTCCTTGGCCTATTTTACGCTAGGTTGTGTTGTTTTGTCGTATTTCAGGTCCTAGCAAGTAAAGAGGTGCATAGGCGCAAGTTTCGGGTCATTTGGAGGTCAGGTGGCGATTCACAGAGCAAATTACGGGCAGCCCCTGCCAAATTACGGGCGTAATTGGTCCAGGCATGCCCGTAAAAGCAATGCCGAGACTAATTTCCCCAGAATTCCTCTCGGCAGTGGAATTACGGGCAAGTTTCCCACAAATTACGACCGTAATTAAGTAACTACTGGCGGTAATTGGGAAATTACGGGCGTAATTCCACCCCCATCAGAGTAAAGTGAAAAGCGCGTTTTGGGCAATTTACGGGTAGAACGTGATTACGACCGTAATTCTGCCCGTATTTCGCCCAGAATCGGGTTTTTAGGCAGATTTGAGCCAAAGGAGAAGGGGTTCCGAGTTTTAGAGTGACAGAGCGATTCCTAGAGAGAGAAAGCGACGAACCAGAGTTCCCAAGTGCCATAGCTTGATCTTCATCACCATTGGAGCCCGGCTTGAGCTTGGAGAAGTGCCGATTGACAACCAGGAGCAGAAACTCAACCTTCACAGTATGATTTCCGCGTCTGAATATGCTTTTGCTTCTCTTTCCATGGAGTAGTTCCCCCATTCATCTGGGTATGGGAAACCCTAGATTTGTATGTTAGGTCTGATTGTATGAACCCAAGTACAGATTTTATGATTTGATTATATTCGATTGAGGCATGAATGATTGAATGACTTGAATCCTGATCAAATTCCAGTTGTTTCTGCTTTAACCTAGAAAGAGAATATATGTCTAGGCTGATAGATCACCCTTAATTGAAGGTAGTGAATTGGCGACTTTAGTCGAGGAGCCAATTCATTATTCTGTACCGAATTTACTTTGGTAGTAGAGGTTTGGTTCGTTAGGGCCTCAATCTGTTTACTCCGGTGGAGGTTAGTCGCCCGCTAGAGACTCAGATTGAGAGGGTCTGGAGACCTTTAGTCGAGACTTCAGGCTAATTGAGAACCTTCCGCAGTATAACTTTCATGCAATCCGGCTTAACTGCAGTCTAGGGGGAACCATGTCCGGGTGACCTCTCTCGACTTGAAAACAACCGTTTAACTTGCTTTGTTTGTTTGTTAATTTGGACTTGCACTAAAGGTTCACTGCTAGATAACAAGAATTCCTCGAGTAGTCATCAAATCTAGGACCCGGGTTGACATTAAAACCCAAACCCGCTATACTACACTTTAGGAAGTGGTTACACTTGGCCAATTTCTAGAGTGACAGTAGGAGTGAGTCAAGTTTTTGGCGCCGTTGCCGGGGACGGCTAGGTTGTTGAAGAAAAGTGATTTCTGTTACTTTAGCATTTTCATTTTCGCATTGATTGTTTGTTCTCTCCCACTTGTGCCTTCACGGGTTTGCATTGCTTGAGTGTGTGCAGATAGTGCATGACCCGTAGCCAGTCGGGAGGTTTACTGCCGTTGGATCCAAAGATTGAACGCACCTGCCGCCAACTTAGGAGACAACAACGAGCTAGACTGGCTACGGACGAGCGCATGGACGGCCATTTGAGCAGCGAGTCCGAGGACGATTACGTGATGGAAGGAGAACACAACCCACCCCCGGGGAATCCTCTCCAGGTTCCCCCGGTGAATCAGCTCTTGGGGAACAACCCCATACCCCAGGCAGATGGGGTTCATCATCATTCTCCGCCGTCGGGTCCCACCTTGGAGTACTACTACACTCCACGGATTGCTGACATCCGCCCGGTCATCCTCTATCCGCCCATTCCAGCGAATAACTTCGAGATCAAGCCATGCTGGATTCAACTCATTACATCCTCTATCCAGTTCCATGGCTTGAAGGATGAGGAAGCAAGGGTGCACCTTTCCCGTTTTCTGCAGCTGACGAACGGGTTCAAGCTAAACGGTGTCCCTGATGACGCAATCCACCTTCACCTCTTCCCCCATTCTCTGGCGGGGAATGCTAAGAGGTGGTTGGAGACCCAGCCCCCATTGTCCATCACTTCTTGGGACGATCTGGCTGATAAGTTCGTGCACAGGTACTATCCAGCATCGAAGACCACAGAGCTTTAGAGGGAGATCACTCACTTCCGCCAAGAGCCAGATGAGTCACTTCGTGATGCATGGGAGCGGTACATGGGATATTTCTGGCAGTGCCC